GCATTCATATTCATGTATTTTTTGTTGCTTTTTAATTTTTTTGTGTGTTTTATTTAGTTAAAACAAGGAGAAACAACAGAACATCAGAAGGTGGTATGTCCAGACTGTAACAAGGAAATAAATGAGACCCTTAACATTGAAGCAGTAAAGCTGGCCAACAGGCGCCTCCTGTCAGCACAAATTGTGAGTACTCTATCGTACTCATTTATTGACATTTAGGGGCCTAAAGTTATACTGAAAGCCCTCTCTCTTGCTAAAAAGCAAAGAGAAGTTCAGCATTTTCTTAGAAATTTGCTTGACAAAGAAAAGGAAAAGAGGGAGGGAGGGAGAAACTGGGAAGAAGGAAATCTACTCAAAATTAGTTTAAGTAAAAGGTAATTTATTATGAAGATTTGTAAATTTCACAGATACCAGTGGGCTAACCTTCAGGTGTGTTAGACCATCAGTTCCTTCTCTAGTTCCAATTCAATTTTTCTTGGAAGGATGCCACCAAGTCCTTTAAAAAATGCAGGTAGAGGGTATCCTATCTTCATCCAAATCTGGCATAAAAGTTATAGACATTCTGTACTAGTAGAATATAAGACTCAGACATTGCTATTCAACTACCCGTCAGGATCTTGACTATTTGCTGCCACCCATCATCTCAAATATTCATGTTGGGCTTTCCTATTGTACATAGAGCTATCAAGCATTTATCAGCTATTCTAGCCATATGGGGATCTAAGAACTGTACTCACTCTGTCTAACCTGGGAAACAAAGGATGTGTTAGACATGACTGTTCTGTCCTCAGCAATAGTTTCATGAAGAATGAAACTTATGGGTTGGGGTTGGGGCTCAGTGGTAGAGCATTTGCCTAGCACGTGTGAGGTCCTGGGTTCGATCCTCAGCACCACATAAAAATAAATAAATAAAATAAAGGTATTGTGTCCAACTTCAACTAAATAATAAATATTAAAAAAAAAAAAGACTGAAGCTTATGCCCACATAGTTTTATTCCTCCAACAAGTTTTCCATTTGTACCAAATTAGGTATTGCTGCTGGCTAGGCAATAGTTTCCTACCACACAGCTTCACAAGGGGAAAAGTCACCTTTCTTGTTCTACCCTCTCTTCTAAATCCAATGCTGCAGG